GCTGACTGGAGAGAGTCTCCTGTCTTCCCCACTGCTGCTCTTAGAGTGACCTGGGTTGAGACCTGAAGAACATAGGGTCCAAGAAGGGAAAAATCTCTCCCATCTTGGGTTCAATAGGATTGGGGTTCACCTGGCTTCTCTTTCTTTATCACATCCATCAGATCCATTTGCCTGTTGAGCTCCAATCTTACCCCATCAGTAAGGGTAAGCTAACTGGCTGGCCATGTTCACTCTCACATGGCCCTTCTGTCCCCCAAACGTCAGAGTTAGGTGAATTACAAAGTAGGGACAAGTGTCCCCATGGATGCATGTAATATATGTGCATTCTCCTACTGGGATATCAGCAGCATTCACCAAGTGCTCATGCACAAAAGTCTGACCTGAGCCCAAGTTGATGAGTCCCACAATGTGTACATCCCCTTGGATCTGGGATCTCCTGCTTCACCTCTGAGACATAAGTGCAAGTGTATCTGAAATCCATATCTAGGCAGTCCTGGTAGTGGTGGCCCTTCTCTCTGCATCAGAAGCAGGTGATTTGATCCTCCTGTCCTCCTCAGGGCTGCAGAGAAGTCCCAGGTGGCTGTCTTCTCTGGCAAAGCCATGCAGGGACTGTTTGGGGCCTTGTCAGAGATACAGGTGATGTCCTCACAAGGGACCCGTTTAGAGACATGGTCTGTTTTCCCCATAATCCTAGATTCCTCAGGCTTCAGGGCTGCAAGCCTCCTTGGGGATCTCAACAGTCTAACTCCACCCCCAGGAGATCTTCTACTCTCTGGGTAGACTCTTCCAAAACAGTCACCTGGTGACAGTACACCCACTGCCTGATTTGGGATGGGAGGATGTTGCAAAACTATTCTAATGTTACCAGTTCAACCACCTCTGCAGCCAATCAGGAGTCGGGGTTATCCAGCTAGTGTACATGTCTTTTAACTTTTGGGCTATGACTCGGAGCCAAGTATTCAGGTCACAAACCTCTGACTGTAATCTGTAGGAATAGACTTTCTCAGTAAGATCCAACTGGTCCAAAAGGGTCACCTTGAGGGTCTTGTAATCCTGGGCCACATCTGCCCCCCAGGTCCAGTATGCAGCCAGGGCCTCTACCTTTATTAATAGGGGCACCACCATAGCCCACATAATTAATGGCCACTGATAGGTCTCAGAAACCCATTCAAATTTGTGAGAAAAGCCTCTTGGTCACTGGCCAGTCCCATCCTGGGGAGCCCTCCACCCTTGAGCCTCAGAGCTCCCGGTGATTTACCAACTGGGGTGGGGTTCTTTCTCCATTCCTCCTGCCACTACATGAACTCCTGCTGTTGCAGCTGCTCCTTCCTTTGGAAATGCTGCATTTGTTGCTTATGCTCCCTCTGGACCTGCTGCTGCTGTAATTGGAGTTGCTGAAATTGCTGGTGTTGCTGCTGTTGCATCCACAACAGTCATTTTGGCAGAGTTCTGTCTCCATTGCTGGAGTTCACTTTAAGTTTCCCATGTTCCCCACCACATGTAGTGGGCTGTCCATTCGCACAGCACAATGTTTATTTCCCTGAGACTAATTTGCCCTCAGGACACAACATAACTCATAAATCATCCAACAAACAAAGACACCAACAGTAAAGGGTTAACACATACTCTGTGGTCCTTTCCTGGACCCAGAGAAAGTGCTCTGACTTGGTGTTGCAGCCCCTGCCTCACAGCCTTCTCTCTCCCCCGACGTTCTTCCCTGGATGCTTTTAACTTCCTCTGGGCCAGCCAATTATCATAATAAGCTGTTCCCATCCACCTAGGCAGGCCTGCAATCACTTCCTTACTGCCTGCAGCTGGGCTGCAGCCCCTGAGACATGCAGCCTGCTACAAGCACTTTAACAGAAGTAACTAAAGGAGAAATAACTGGGACAATAACTTTTACACACTAAAACTGAATTAACTGATGTTTCAGTTGTATTCTACAAGGAATTGCATCCATGTAAGAATGTGCCATCATTCAAAATTAATTTGGTGTGTCTCATGGTTTGTTTTCGCAGCTGAATCCTAAAATTGCTAAATAATTAGGAGACTAATTGTAGAAAATGCCTCAACTGTTTAATTAAAATGCAGTTCTAAATCAGAATCAAGACTATATAGAAAAATTATCCATTCTTGACATATCTGTATCTGTATCCATTCTCCCTCATCTGTATGCTGAGTCATATGTTTACCATTACTGAGTTATCTCTGACTGGGGAGTGAGTCAGAATTGACAGACTGATGTATGTATGCATTTTTTGTGCATTTAACTATTTTTAATTAATTATTTAAAAATATGTTAATCATCAACTCCTCTTTCAAATTTTAAGTGGTTTCTTTTTGGGCAAACTCCCATTGATTTAATCTAATGACAACTGAATAAAATCTGACAAGGTATTCATGATGTTCTGTAATATGGCTGTTTATTAAATACACAATGACAAGTGTGTAGGAGGTTCTCAGTGCTTACAAACAAAAATAAGTATATGCTCCTTTTGGCTCCAGGAAGCCATTCCTTCCATGAGACAGGTTGATTCTATTGTGGTTTGTACACATCTTCATCAGAAAAATCACCTGAGTTCCAAAGGCAGAGGCTGAACTTTTGAAGGCAGTTCAGGAGGTTTAGACTCAGCTTCTGCAAAAAATCATTGGAAGTTGTATGGTTATAATCACTGCATTGCTTTGAGACTATCAACCCAAATCTTTACTAGGGAATGAGGTGAGGCAAAAAGAACCTTTAGCAGTTATGATAATTGGTGGGGAGAAAATAACACATCTTTTTCACTTAAGTGAACAAATCTGATCTGATATTACTGTAATTGCACAAAACTAATATTATGACACTCTCTTACTGTTCCTTTTGCTAGGTACGGACATACAGACATTCAAGAAACCTGAGGCAGATTCAAACTAACTTATGTGGGTTTCTCTAAGTGGACTAGGTTAGTTCAGTAACAAAAAAAACACAAGTTTGCCCTTTGGTGGGGGCGGGGCATGCATCTATGTAGCATAAGAACTGTGCCTTAGAGGAGGAAGGGGTGATGTCACATCTTAGGAAAGATGTAGCATAAGAAGTACCATATTATATCAGACTAATGGTCCATCTAGTCCAGTATTCTGTCTCCGATAGTGTTCTAAGGCCACATCCACAGGAACATGGATGTTTGGTACTCCAGGGACAGCTAGCAGCAGGACACCTTGTGCCACTGCTAGATGTCTCAGGGGAATGTTTGTGCCACGAGACCTCTGGTGCATGGCAGGTTACCCCAAATGGGGAAAGAGAGGATGGGGCCAGAACTAAGCTGGCCCCAGCAGCCTTACCGGGGTTCTGGGGGCCTCCTGTAGCTGCAGCAGTGGCAATCCTGCTTCTCAGAGCATGGCCGGCAGGCAGAACATGGCTCCATCTGGCTAGACTCTGGTTTTGATTGGCGCATGCTGCCCCCACATGCACCACTCCACATTTTTTAGTGTTTTTTTTTATTATCTCTGGATATCCAGAGGTCAAATAAATCCCCCATGCTGATCCCTTGCAGCATGGAGAACAGCTGAACGCATGGTATGTGGGGCACCATGTACCACATGACCATGCTTGTCTGGAAACAGCTTAAGTGTTTTCTGTAGAAGGAGACCACAGAACTGGATATATCTAGAGTGATCTAGCCCCTGTTCATTACCCTCCCTGGCATACATCACTGTAGGTTTAGAGATGGCAAAGGATACATTTCTTACTGTTCTGTTTAATAGCTATTAATAGGTCTATCATCCATGAATTAGTCTAGTTCCCCATTTTGAACCTGGCTGTTCTATCTGTGTCTTCAACCTCCTGGAACAATGAGTTCCACAAGTTAACTTTGTGCTGCGTAAAGAAAAAAAAAGGACTTTATCATCTTCGTTTTAAACCTGTTTCCCGATAAGCTCAGTGTATGGCCCCTCATTCTAGTATTCTGGGACCTGGTGAATAACTGTTCCCTACTCACTTTGTCCATACATGATACAAGTCCTTATGTTAAAATCCTTCATGATTTTATAGACTTCTGTTATATCTCCTCTCAGCCTTCTCCTTTCCAGACTGAAGAATCCTAATCTTACCATCTTGCCATCTCCTGGTATGGCAACTGCTCCAAACCCATGATCATTTTGGATGTCCTTCTCTGGGCATTTTTTAATTCTGTATCTTTTTCAAGACGTAGAGACCAAAATGGCCAATATTCAAGACTTAGGCACACTATGGATTTCTATAGTCTCATGATAACATTTTATTTTCAGTTCCATTCTTAATGATGCCCATATTTTACTGGCTTTTCTTTGGGCACCTCTCCACACTGAACCAAAGTTTTTAGAGAATGATTTACAGTGACTCCAAGATCCCTCTCCTGAGTGATAACACATACTTTAGAACTCAACACTGTGTATGTATAATTAAGGTTATTTTTCCCCGTGTGCATAACCTTGCACTTGTTTATATTAAAATCCATCTACCGTTTTCTTGCCCACTTAGCTTGGTGAGATCTTTCTCCAGCTTCTCTCCATCAGCTTGGGATGTCACTGTCTGCAGTTGTTTAGAATGTGGACGTGTTCTAAAGGAAGGGCCATGAGGTAGTAAAGAGTCTAGGTGACAGAATTGTTAGCTCTTCATTTTTGTAAGAGCTATAGTTGGGATTTCTTTGCTTGCCCCAAAGGGGGAGCAATTTGGATTTGGCCAGCAAATCAGATCATCGCTGCACCAATACCACACCAAGCCAGGAAAGCCTTAATTTTTATAACAAGAAGCATTTAAGCAGAGAAAACAAAACTTGCTTTTCCTATCCTATGCCGAATGTCAAAAACATCCCTGTAGTTTTCAGGTACAACAGTCAAGACTCTATGTGGATACTGCTTTGCTGATTATAGATTAAATATAGGAGCCATTAGCTAGGATTCATTAGCTTTATTGTTTTCCATGACATTAAAGCATCAAGCTCCTTCCCTTAATTAGCATCATAATTACTTAGCCTTCTACTAGAGATTGGAATAATATCTTTACTCTGTGAAGATCCTTTAGTCCCATTTGGATTTGGTCTAGAACACTAATGATCAATGACTGCTAGGGGATCTATGTAAAATGAGTTAATAATCTCTTGCCTATTTTATGATATCTGATTGCATCACCACCCTATTAAAATAACCAGAATGTGTTTCTAACTGCCATTCCTTTCACTGTCAATAACATTTAAATGCAAGACACAATCTGAAAGCCTGCAAAAAAGGCAGAATTCGCCATTGTTTAATTTGCATGAAATAATCACTATGCAATCCCAGAACTTTTAATGCCAAGAGAAAACAAATGCTTGCTCTTTGGGAGGCAATTTATGACTGCAGAAAGGAGAATACCTGCTCTTCTTTCTGCCCTGCATGCATCACTTTTCCTCTGCCACTCACTAAACTAATCATTGTATGATTTTACTGCTGCAGGTAACTTTGAAATACCTGCAGGACATTCACAATTGGAAGCCTTTATTGCATCATTTCACTGTTTACTCATAATTGCTAAAGAATGTTCTAATCCTTTCTGTCATGCCTAAATCTTACCAACTTATTTACAAAATCATTTTAACATGTCTGTTCCCAGGGCTAGGACTGTATCTTTTTTTCTTTTTACTTTCTCTTTGTTCACTGTTGTTTTTCATATGTGCCTTTGGCTATCAAAAGTGCACAAGAGCAATGTAATACTGTATGTGTCTTATGATTGCAGTTTTCATTGGATCTCCCTGCTGTTTTAAAAAGGTGTTTTGGAAGCAGCTGTTAGTCAATCTGAGGTGACTATGAGGGGCACAGAAAAACAAAATCTAATTTTATGATGGTTAGCTTCTGCATAATATATTAAAATAGATAATTTACAGTATTGCAGTTGTTCTGCAGTTGGAAAATTTAGTTTCTAGTTTAATTCAAAATGCCACACAGATTCAGTAATACTGCTCTCAGAAGAGGATGTCTGTGTTCCCTTAGCTGACATGGATGGTTTCATGTTGGATGCGCTGAGATATGAGACAAGGACCAGCTCCATTCTGTTTTTAGCTTGGTAGCACATTGTTTCATGTAAACAGAGTACTTCTCCCTGAGGGCTGTGTACTTGGTGTGCAGGATGGATCAGAAATATAAGGCCCGAAGTGCTGTAGCTTAAATTGCAGTTGGAATCTTGAATGAACTAGAGCAGTCTTTAATCTTCACCTTAAAGGAAATGATGATGTTCACACTCTTAAGATAGAGAAACTGAATATAAAATGTTAATAAACTGATAATAGTTATCTGTAACAATTCCCCAAGGAAAATTTTGGGTACTGTTACAGGTCTTTTTTAACAGTGCCTAAAATTGATTCTACACTGGATACCTCTTGTTTTGTTCTACCTCTTATTGGATCAATGAGCAGGACTGTTCCTAGCTGGGTACCCAAGTGATCACTTCTTTTTCCAAAGCTGCTGCTAGTTCATGGGCTTTTTTAATAAACAACAGTGAAAATACTTGCTGATGACATATGCAGATGAGACAAAAGGTGTATGGGGTGGTAGATAATGAAGAGGACAAGAATAATTTGCATCATAGAATCATAGAAAATTAGGGTTGGAAGGGACCTCAGGAGGCCATGTAGTCCAACCTACTGCTCAAAGCATGACATCCCAAACTATATCATCTCAGCCAAGCCTTTGTTTACCTGGGTCTTTAAAACCTCTAAGGATGGAGATTCCACATCTCTGGGCAGCCTATTCCAGTGTTTTACTACCCTTCTAATGTAAAAGGTTTTTTTTCCTAATATCTAACCTAAACTTCCCTTGCTGCAACTTGAGACCATTGTTCCTTGTTCTGTCCCCTGCCGCCACTGAGAACAGTTCAGCTCCATCCTCTTTCAAACCCTCCTTCAGGGAGTTGAAGGCTGCTATTAAGTCCCTCCTCAGTCTTGTCTTCTCCAGACTAAGTAAGCCCAGTTCCCTCAGCCTCTCCTCAAATGTCATGTGCCCCAAACCCCTCACCATTTTCATCTAGTTAATAGGGCTGTGCGAAAATTAACTGGCTGTTTCGTTTCAACACCGTTTTAACTCATTTCAAGCTCAAAACAAAACAGAGGGCTTCGAAACAGCCTTGAAACAAAATGAGGGCAGTCAAAATGTTTTGAAAGTTTTGAAACGTTCTGAGTTTCGAAGTTGAAGCTGGGCTTGCCTGAAGGGAAACAGAAAGTAAGGAGAGGGAGGGAGAAGAGGGGGGAAGAAGGGGGAAGGACTGCTCTCATATTGACTATGTAGTTGGCCAGTGACTGTCATCCTTCCCTGAGGTCCCTTTCAATCCCAGTGCTCTGGGGGAGGGATGGAAAAACAGCATAAAAAGGCAGCATTGTTTGAACTGGCCTGCTTACTGCCTTGGGGTCTGACAGTTACTGAGCTGTGTTTTCTACCAGCTCAGAAGCATTAGACAATGAAGGCTACTACTATCATTGATCTGAATGATTTCCTACTTGCTAGCCTAGCAAGTGGGATTCCACAATACCTTTTGCTTTCTTCTAGACCCTTTTATTTTATTACTATATTCATTTATTTATTCTTTTCAATTGTATAATTATATTGGATATTACACTATAGAATTCATATAGGAAGGGAAATACATTTATATTTTCTTTCTATACATTTATACCTTGCGGCATATACATACCTTATAGAATGTATATAGGAACACAGATACATTTATATATTTGTATAAAAACAAGACCCTATGAAACACACCATGAAGCATGGTGGAATGGCAGCTGGCAAGCCTTAAGGGAGGGGCAGAAGAGTGGGTAAGAGAGGTGTAAGCCCCTCCCCCCTAACACCAAATTGCGATGCAGTCTCTTTCCTACAACTAGCAGGGATAAGGCTTCAATGAGCAGCAAGAAGAGGGGAGCAGTGCCAGTGCCACGGTCTGTGCCTGAGACTGCATTCCCTCCAAGAGCACCAGCCATAACCCCCTTCCCCCGCCACCATCACCACCAGGACAACAAGCAGCAGCAGCAGCACCAGCATGACAGTCACCTCCACCCCCATTTCACTTCCCAGCTGAGCCTTCCAGTGCCAGAGGAGGAGTTGGAGCTGGAGCTGGAGCTGGATCTCAATGCCCTAGCAAGGGAAATTCTGGGGAAGGAGGGGGAATCAGCTGAGCCCTCTACTACAACCTGCTGGATATCAAACTCCCCAGTTACCTCTGCACTTTTACCTGCACTGCTACATCCCCTTCCCCCACCCTCACCCCAGTCTGTCCCTCAACCCCTGAAGGCCATTTCCATTTTCACTGACTGGCTTTCTTGCCTACATTGCATGCCAGCCTCTGGCTTCTTTACTTTTGCTTCCATCTAGGAATAGCGCGCGCGCACACACACACACACACACACACACACACACACACCAACTGCAGGTGCTTCCTCAGCCTGACAAAGGTTTTTCAACCCAAAAACTTGCTAAGATATATTTCTGTAACTATTCAGTTAGTCTGCTAAAAGATACCAGATTAGACTGACCCAAAGGAAAGGACCTTGTCTGCCAGTGCCATGTCCTTAGATCAACACCCCTAGCACCTGACCAGAAGGACGCAGGGCCCTGGGCACATCTAAGCCCCAGGGCTGGGGCTAGCAGGGAGAGTTCTTTGGCAGCTGCTGGAGAAAAAGCTCCTGCAGGAGAGAAAAGAAAGGCCCTGTCACAGTTCAGCTGCCTGAGATGCTGCTGGTGCTACTGTGCTGCTGCAGTAACTAAGTTATTATCTTACCTGTTATCATTTAAAGTGGTGGACCAGACTGAGGCTGTAGGGGAGGAGGAGCCACATTGGTGCACACTACCATGTCATGTAGAGGCCCCAGCACCAGTGAGGGCTCACCTTAACACACACACATACACAGTCACACAGTGAGGGCACTCCTTAACACACATGCTGGAGAAGAAGCTCCAGCAGGAGAGAAAAGAAAGGCTCTGTCACAGTTTGGTTGCCTGAAATGTTGTTGCTGCTGCTACTGTGCTGCTGTTCACTAAGTTATCTTATTACCTGTAGTCATTTAAAGTGGTGGACTAGAATGAGGCTGTAGGGGAGGAGGAGCCACATTGGGGCACAATACCATGTCATGTAGAGGCCCCAGTGCCAGTGAGGGCATGCCTTCACATACACACACACACACAGTGTCACCCATGTCGTGAGTCCTGTTTGTCAGCAGCTTCAGGTGCAGTTTGCCAGAAACCTCTGCACCTATCTCCTTGAAACACGGCTGGCTTCATGGCCTCAGAAGGGGCTACCATCCCTGCAATTGTCATCTGAATTAGGCAAGAAATGACAAAGTTATAAGCAGTTGTGTGCTTCCCCATTATAGCCTATGAGCAAAACAGTTTAGACAAAACAAGAGAACAGTGCTTTCTAAACGAAACAAAATTTGAAATGAAAGACTGTCCCGTTGAAATGTCGAAGTGGAATGGTGCTGTTTCGCACCAGTTACAGTGCACAATTCCACAATTCTACTAGTTAACAGACACAATTCCAATAAGACACATTTTAAGATAACCAAATATATCTGTGAACTGACAGCCCAGGCAGTAGTTACATAATGATTTGTCTTGGGAAGCAGTGGCTTTCAATGAAGGTGTAAAGAGGTGCTGTGATTTTTGGATGTATAAAAAAGGGACTAGCAAATAGATGTGGCAAAGTGATCTACTTGCATCTACACACACCATTAGGAAGACTGTTTTATATCCAGTGATAGTGTAAATGCTTTAAAAAAAGATGTGATAGTTCTAGAAATATTTCAGAATTACACCAAAAACAGTTCAGGTTTGGAAAGCAAAACACACAATGCGAGATTTCAGGAACTCAGATTACTCAGTTTATCAAAAAGAAGGTTGAGATGTTTTGTTTACCACATATAGGTACTTATCTGATAGAGATCTGATAGAAGGACTTTTCAACCTCACTGAAGCAGGCATAAAAGATCCAATGAATGGGCATTGATGTTAAATTCAACCTTGAAATAGGTGAGAGTAATTAATGATGACTGTAATTAAATATTGAAACAGTTTAATGATGAAGCTAGTGGACTCAATGTAAGCCTTGCTGGATGACAACTTTTATGACCCATCTGTGTAGAGGCCTAGGATAGGATGGTCTTGATAGAAGCCATGGTTGAAGTTAGGCCATTATGTGGTGGTACATCGTACTGAGAATACTGTCTCTTAGAGTTATAGCTGCTGTCTCTTGTTTTATATATATATTATATATAGACACTGGTTGACATATTTTGGGGTGGGAAAGAATCTTTTCCAGATAAAATTAGTTGATACCTTTGGATTTTTGTGCTCCTTTGCAACACAGGGTTTAGTTTGTTTGATGGGATTTGCAAAGACTACAGACACTACTGCTGTTTTGATTCTCCTGCCATATGCCTGTGAATTTTGTCTACTTTCTTGAGGACCAAAATGTTTAAGTCTAAGTATGTGGAGTTAATGATAGAATATTGAGCTGAAATGCTATGGTCTGCGCTATCAGCTTTTAAATGGTCTGTTCTAATTTTAAACTTCATGAAAGTCAGCATGGCTATACAAGGAAACTCCAGCTCATTTATAACCCGATTAACATACTAAGCAAGCAGTTGCATGATTTCTTACTAACAATAAAAGATGGAACTATTTGGACATAAAATGTATTTATTGCCAAATTTGGGTCACTGTAAAAGTTCATTATTTACATTATCCAGTTAAAAAGCAGGAGTATTTGTTTCCCTTAATCAGGTCTAATAACAGAGAGAAATATTCTGCACTATTCTCTCTAACCTTTTCTTTATTCTTAAGCATGAAAGAAGAAGGAAGATACGTTTTCTCAGGTACCTTTAACATGTGTCTCAGGGGGAGCACACCATGCACACACGCCCACATGCACCCACACGCCCACCCACCCACGCAGGGGTTTTAATCTGATTCCAGCTGGCCCAGGCTTACTTTCATTTTAGCTGTGATGGCTGAGTGTTGAAGGCATTGGACTTGAAATCCTATGGGGGCTCCCTGCACAGTTTTGAATCCAGCTCACAGTGGCAGTTTCTTTCTTCACGGTAAGGGTGGCCAAAATTTGGAATAGGCTTCTAAGGAAGGTAGTGCTCGCCCCTACCTTGGGGTCTTTAAGAAAGGCTGGATAGGCATCTGTCTTGGGTCATCTGACCCCAGCACTCTTTTCTGCCTAGGCAGGGGGTTGGACTTGATGATCTGTTGAGGTCCTTTCCGACCCTAGCATCTATGAATCAACCCAGTTTTCATTTTATGACCTTAATTTCCTAGACACATTTACTGGTGTATAGGCAAAGCTGCTATAAAATTGCATTTTTGTGACTAAATAAAAAATTGCAGATTTAAGACTGATGGCCGCTTCTTTAAAAATGTGCCCAAAAAGTCTATATCAAAGTTTTTATCATCAAACTACAAAATAACAACATTGAGAGAATTGACTATGTATCCTTAAAAGTGCTTTGCATTAGGGAAAAGAAAACTCTCAGTATCTTCCAAGGATTCCACACCAGTTAATCATTAGTTTTATTATAGCAATGCCTAAAGGCACCATTGAGATCAAAGCTCTATTATAGTGAATGCTGTGCATGCAGTAAAAGCCTGTTTCAAAGAGCTTACAGTCAATATAGACAAGACCCCAAGTAAGAGAACTCCCCAAGGATAGTAAATGCAGACACACTCATCCTATGGAATACATTAGAAGAGATTGGCTTAAGCTAGAAACTTGAGATACAAATAATCCCTGAATAAACTTTCATGACCTGGACCTAACTATACTTAAAATCAATTAAAACTGATCAAGCCTCAAAGTTTCACTTCAACAACCTCTGATTTTTCAAATTAACCCTGACAGGTATATTATATATACTACAATAACATCTTAAAAATCTTTCAAATTCTATGTATTTTCTTCATAGGATTCAACCTCTGGGGGAGGCATGGTGAGAGAGACCTGACTGTAGGTGTATACTATAGGATGCATAACCAAGGGGAGGAACTTGATCTAACCTTCACCCATGAACTAACAGATGCCGTGTGTGCACGGGACATGGTTCTCATGGGTGACTTTAACTACCCAGACATCTCGTGGGAGGAGTGCTCAGCCAGCTCAAATCAATCAGGATTCTTCCTGACCAGCACTGAAGAGCTTTTTTTGATTCAGGAGGTGCACAGGCAAACTAGAAGCTATGCAGTTCTTGACCTGGTCCTGGCCAAAGGGGATGACCTGGTGACCAGCTTAAACATAGAGGGCAGCCTAGGCTATAGTGACCATGAAATCATTAGTCTGTCACAAGGCTGACAAAACAGATAGGAAGCTTGAAGTCTTACACTTCAAAAACACAAGTTTTAATAAGCTCAGGTCACTAGTAGAGAATGCCTTGAGAGACCAAGGACCACAGGTAAAGGGAGCATGAGAAAAATGGTCATTCCTTAAGGATACAATCCTTAAAGCTCAGAGAAAATCCAGTCCCTTATGGAGAAAGAGTTGCAGAAGGGTCAAAAAAGCCTCTTGGCTAAGCAAGGAACTTGCATTCCTCCTACAGGAAAAGAAAGAGATGTACAAACAATAGAAGCTTGGGACAGGCTGTAAGGAAGACTACTTGACAATGGCCTGCACTTGTAGAAAACAGATTAGGCAAGCCAAGGCAGAAACCGAACTAAAACTAACTAGAAGAATAAAATACAACAAGAAGTCCTTCTTTAGCGATATAGTGTGTAAGAGGAAAACTAATGGAATGTGAGGCCGCTGCTCAATGCCTCAGGATACCTGGTCACTACCACTCAGGAAAAAACAGAACTCCTAAATGACTACTTTGCTTCAGTCTTTCACAAGACTAAGGGGAACAACATGCCAGATAGAGCACAGAATGAGCAGGGCAGGTTTGACACCATTCCCACCATTGCCCTAGAACTGTTGTACGATCAATTAAAGAAATTAGACATATATAAAATCAGCAGAACCAGATGAACTCCACCCAAGAGTGCTGCAAGACTTGGCTGAAGTAATCACAGAGCCCCTAGCAAAGGTCTTTCAAAAATCATGGGCCCCTGGAGAAATCCCAGAGGACTGCAAGAAGGCCAATGTTGTGCCCATCTTCAAGAAGGGGAAGCATGAAGACCAGGGAAACTACAGGCCAATTAGCTTAATTTCTATTCCCGGGAAAATCCTAGAAACATTCATCAAAGAGGCTATATGTAACAAATGTGTAGAAGGCATGATACTGAATGACAGCCAGCATGGCTTCATCACAGGCAGGTCTAATTTCTTTCCATGATCGGGTGACTCATCACATGGATGAGAGAAAAACGGTTGACATCATATACCTCAACTTCCAGAAAGCTTTTGACCTGGTATCCCATGAGGTACTCATCAGAAAACTAGAGGATATCAGGCTCAACTGCAGGACCATCAAGTGGGTGCAAAACTGGTTGCAAGGTAGGACACAGAGAGTCCAAATGAATGGTTCGGTGTCATCCTGGTGAGATGTGGGCAACAGAGTACCCCAGGGGTCAGTACTTGGCCCAGTGCTGTTCAATATCTTCATCAATGACCTGGATGAGGGCATGCAAAGCCCATTGGCCAAGTTCATGGACGACACCAAGATATGGGGTTGTACGGACACACCCGCAGAAAGGCTACAGATATAGCAGATCTAGACAGGCTAGCATGTTAGGCAGAATGGAACGAGATGAGGTTTAGCATAGAGAAACACTAGGTGCTGCATCTGGGAAGGAAGAACTCCCAGCACACCTACAGGCTGGGCATCGCTAACCTGACCAGCACTACAAATGAAAGGGATCTGGGGGTAACAATAGACCCGAGCATGAATATGAGTCAGCAATCTGATGCAGTAGCAGCTAGGGCCAATAAAACTCTGGCATGCATCAATCGATGCACCTCCAGTAAATCCAAAGAAATGATTCTCCCGCTTTACTCAACATTGGTGCGGCCGCAGCTAGAGTACTGTGTCCAGTTCCGGGTGTCACACTTCAACAGGGAAGTGCAGAAGCTTGAGAGGGTCGAAAGAAGGGTCACCCACATGATCAGGGACTTGCATGCTAAGCCATATGAGGAGAAGCTGAGGGATCTGGGATTCTTCAGCCTAAAGAAAAGGAGGCTGAGAAGGGACCTGATTGTGGCTTACCACTATATCAGAGGCATACATCAGGGGCTTGGTGAACAACTGTTCACCAGGGCACCCTGGGGGAAAACTAGAAGCAATGGCTACAAACTCCTGGAAGATCGTTTCAGGCTAAATATTAGGAAA